TTTATCCTTGAAACTCAAAGCACCAGAGCCTTTGCTTCACGATTTTTTTTTTTTTTTTAAATTCAAAATCTTTTCCCCTAACTGGAGAGTAAACAACAATCAATGGTTATCCCACACGGCATCTGACCACTGATATTCGACGGGCAAACCGCCAAGCCCATATCAAAGCATTTGCCACCGTGGAATAATGGGTGGAGTTCAAATTCAAAAGAAGATATCTTCCAAAAAATTGTTCTTTTGCGTGTTCCCATGACGGCCATTAAGCTCTTTAGAGAGCTCTTTTTGCTCCTTAAGCGGCGCGGCCAACGTCTCGATTAGGCCTCTTATCGCTTGACGTGCTGCCTCCACAACATCGCCTGAGTGGGTAAAATGTTCGGTGCATGTCCGTGTTGAAAGTGCTTGCCCTCTCGCTTTCTGCAAGACATTTCTTTCCTTTGATCCTATTAGAACGTATAAGAACGCTGTACTTTTTGCGTGTGACGCCAAAACTGGCGAGAGGGTGTCGTCGAAATAAACTTTGACTGCCGGCAGAAGTCGGGGCCAGTGGATTTTCAAGTATTTGGCTGGGCTCAATCAATTGACGACGACGACGAAGAAGAAGAAGAAGAAGATATAACTCTACTTTCCGTGCACCGTGTGATAGTTATTTTTAAATCGTCAACTACTGAGATTTCAATCCAAAAGGCTTGTGGAGAAGTGAAAGAAATTGAAAAAAAAAAAATATCACACACTCGGGGACTACCCAGAAAACCGAGATGAGTGTCACTGGCTTAGGTATCTCTGGGGTGGTATACAACGACACTACCCTGAGATGTCGGAGCGAGTCAACTATTGGACTGAACATCCGCACCAATCATGTGCGTGGGTCAGAGGTCTTTTAAATGCCACTGTTGCAAGACGGCAATAATACCCAACTGAAAGATCCAATCGAATCGTTGTCTATCAATGGTCTAATCCTCTATGAAGTAAAAGTTTAACCCTTTGCTTTATATCAAGGGCATATGGATGGATATATGGGCTGGTTTAATTATAGTTATTGCGTTGGGAGACAGTGAGGAGGGGGAACTCCGCTGCAGTTGCATACCATAGTTTATATGTCGAAGTTTATTATTATTATTATTATTATTATTATTATTATTATTATTATTATTATTATTATTATTATTTTATTAACGAACATCTCTTCACCGGGGGGATCATTCGAAAATGTGGATGTCTCAATCCTCGAGTCGACCTTGTTTTATGTAAGTTGATCATTTTACAGTTGTTTACAGTAACTATGTTTAGGTTCCCCGGAACCGTATTGGAGTAAATAGTTTCCTTCCCGAACCCTATGTGCTGATCCACGGAAAGGATATCTCATGCACATGGTCTCTGCTTCTTTGGATACCCGCGCTCATCCATTGTTAGGTTCCATGGTATGGGTGATGAGCGCGTTTGTTTTTGTTTTGGCTGAATATCTGAAGAACGAAAAATGGGGTCACGTCCGCTAATTGAGCGAAATAAACAAAAGTTAAACAAAGTGGGAGCGGAAAAAAGTGGACAAAATTTCCTGTTATCTGTGCATTGTCCTTAAATTTCAGGGCAAGATACATTTGGAAATTGGACCCAGATTTTCCTCTACAGGCACCAACCTTGTCCCCTTTGTTGTTAGATGTAGGTATAGGTTGCAGTCCGTTTAGGTTATTTACAGAGTGTGGCATGACTTGCGTATACCGAATCAGCGAAGAAATAGCATTGGAAATTATTTCCGATGGAATATTTCCCTCATCTGACTGGAAAAAATAATTGCATCCACGGAAGTGTCGGAGCTCCACACGTTGTAGCAGAAGACTGGCCCGTTTCCTACGTTACTTAATTCTAGTTAACTAGTTAACTATAGCTATGGCTTCTGGATTTTGTCAACGAAATCAGCCGGGGGTCTTGTAAAACGACTGTAGTCCCAACCCATTCTCATTTCCTCATCTTGTTGGAATAACTTATAATAGCAGAAGACCAATCTGACTCTATGATTCATCATTCGTTCGACCGTGCACAAAGCAGGGCGTTGTTTCTTTCTTTCTTTCTTTTTTTTTCTTTTCTTTTTTTTTTTTTGCCTTCTCACATCTGCCCCTGTGGCTTGCTCCAGATTGACCAGTGCCTTGTGCGGGGTCAAATGAAGTTGTGGGTGTAGGAGGGCGCCGGGGCGCGGTGGCTGGGGTCCATATCTCTAAAGTTATATTCGGGATTCGGCGTTGGTCCAGAATCGATCAGCACCGGTGCCGAAAAGCGAACGCTTCAGCTCAAATAATTACTGTTGTTGTTATTACTGCTCCACAACGTATAGTTTGAGGGATTAACACGTTTGATGAAGTGCATTGAATGGGGTGTGAGAGAGCGCAACAGATTTATTATTCCACCTAGCTCTGGAAATCATATAACTGAGGAACATTATGGGGAACAAATAGGTAATTTTCCGTTCCGAGTTCTAGATACTCGAACAAAAATGGGAGCTGAGGAGGAAAAGAGGAGGTGGCGATTCCCCATCGACTTTTAAGCCTTACAATATTGGACACCGACGCCAAAGGAGCCAGAACAGTCCTTTTGCTTGTCGAAAAACCATATTGGATGTTTCCTCCCATTCCGATTTTCCATCCCTCTCCTTTTCGAGAGCGGTTGAAGCCACAGCATCGCATCGTTTCCTCTGTTATTAAGTTTTATGGGCGTCACATCTCAAATGTAGTTCTGAGCCGAGTTATGGTCTGTAGAAACTGCAAGACGACTCGACAGTATTATGCGCCAGATAAAAAAGAGCAGTTGGAGAGGAGCATTGCTTATTACATTTCTACTCAAGAGTATTATTTCGTCTATTCGTTGCAAGAGGAGGAGCAGTTGGTAACTAGCAGTAGGAATGGAAATTATATCGAGACGTGGGAAAGTTGAAGAAGGAAGAAAAAGTAAAGTGTGTCATTGAAATGTATCGTGGCACACACATTGTGTAGTTCCACGTCCAGTACTTCTTCAATGTCCACCAACCAAATTTATCAAGTACCTGAGAGGTACCTCTGGATAGCTTCAATGATTGCCTAAACTCTCTGGGTTTTGCACCTCTTGTCCTCTACTTAGTAACTGATTACCTAGTAGCCGCCGAAGAAAAATCTTCTCCAAGGCACACACTACTTCGACCCCCGCCCCCAAAAAAAGCAAAAGGTGAAAGCCGAGATCACAGATCGTAGAAACAAGCTTCCTCATTTAACTATTGCAAGGATGAATTTTAGATGATCGCCGAAGTACCAAACACGTTCTGAAGATATTCTTGGTTTCTTTTGCAGTTGCGAGAGGGCAAGTGTGCTAAATACAGCCTCCTCCGTCATTGATATTATCTTTCATTCAGTAAAGCGTAAAATTAACTCGTGTTGTTGGTTGGGAGAGATATTGGCAAGCCACATGCCTCACCCCAGTCTCTGGACCCTGAAACGGCCCTGAATTTGCCTTTTTATATTAGTCCATTGAACTGATGTGATCTTTTATTTTTTTTTCTTTTTCTTTTTTTTCTTTTTCTTTTTCTTTTTTTTCTTTTTCTTTTTCTTTTTCTTTTTCTTTTTTCTTTTTTTTTTTTTTTTAGTTTATTTCCTCTGGTCCGTGTGTTGCTGGTTGACCGTTAGGAGAGGGCTGAGGATCCTTGTTGGTCCACGAGCCCCCTTGATTTTCCCATCGCATGATATAGCGATTGGCTCCCACGTTGATGGAGAGGCTTTCGCTGTGAAGGTCAATTTTTGCTATTTCTGAGGCGCGATCATTCGTCTGGCTGTCCGTATTTAGGGTATATGGAGAAACTCAAAACGAATTCCCCCTCAAACTTTATCCGACCGTCAGGTGCAAATAGTCGGGCTAAATATTTTATTTTGGCTGAGTTATTCTGTTAATTCAGCTAAAAGAAGTCCTTTGTGCCTTGGAAGAGAAGGGGAATGATAACCGAGCAAATGAACAAGTCCTTCAGTCGGCCACACAGATCGGTTTTTGTCTATCTTTTTGTCTCCAAACCAGTTCCCCGTATATGTCCCGACCGTCGAAGTTAGTAACTGGAGACTTTTGACTATCATATCACCGCATGACTCCAATGAAGGGCTTTCGAGATCATGCGTCTGGATTAGAGAGGAGCGGACCCAGATCCAGGAACTGATATGTAATGTAACATACATGTACTGTACACGTTCATGTCATATCAATTTAAGGGGTGCTTTTTGGTATGCAGTGACCTTCTTGATTCCAGACAGTTCGTTCACTTTCTCTTCCCTCTGACCCGACTGCGCTTCGGGTTAGTTGGGAAGCCTTCCCCGAGTGGAGCTTTACTGTTATATATAGAGAAAGAAAAAGTAGAGTAAAAAGAGATGGGTGCGGGTATGCAAGATACGCATCCCGTTTGAGAGCTCAAAAGTGGATCCTGGCATTTGAATGAGACGTATCGAACGGTTATATAAACCACACGCAAAGGAAAGAGAAATTCCCCAAGAAATAATGAACCCTGGATATCTTTGGATAGCTCTTTGCTAAGCTTCCATTATTTTGCGCTTCTTGCTTTCCCCGCACGCCAATGATAATCGCTTTTTCTTGCCCGATTTGTCGCTAATGAAGTGAATTTCTCATTCTTCAGTTCAGCGGGGAAGTTCATGTGTGCCACCGTGTCGGGGTCGATTGATAGCTACTGCATATGTACCTAGATGCACCTAAGGTAGCGCAAAGTTGATCAATTTCTGCGTCGATACAATGCAATGTTAGTATGGTTATAGGTAAGTGTAAGTGTTAGGGTAAAGGTTGGGATAAAGAACAACAAAAAAATAAATAAAAATAAATAAAATATAGAAATGTTTCGGAGGATATGCCAAGCAAGTCAGAAAATCCATCGACACTGAAAGTTGCGGGGTTTCCATCGATGGCTAGGAGAGGGGGTTCTCTTCATTGACAACTCGCAAGCGATTGAAGATTCGACTCCCGTAACTTGGCAATGTGAGCAAAGTTCCCTAGAGGAAGATGTAATGTGATCCACAGCATTTGGTATTCCGCTCTGCGTCTTCTGATCGAATAATTGCTTCTGGAACAGATCGCCTACGAATGACAAATTGATCGGTCTGGCCGGAAGATCTCCGCCAACGTCGTAGGAACAAGCATAGCTTCGACTGGCTCTGGCTGGCTCAGATCCATAGGGTAGAGTTAACTGGCAAAAGGAAAGAAGAAGAATGAAGAATGAATAAAAACAAATATAGCATTTATAATAAAACTGGAACTGGTGTTGAAGAACCCATTTATCCCAGATCGGGGAGCGTTATTGTACTGTAGTCATGTACATACATATATGTACTCGACATACGTGTGTGAATCGTCGCATCTTCCGGTTAGCCTTTTGCGTCGTTCGATTTCCAGGGCCCCCAATCTCCCTACAAGGGGAAAATATGGGCGGCTTCGTTGAACTGAAGAACGATGTGTTGCTCCGCATGTTTCTTCCTCCTGTGAAACAAGCTGCCAGTTTGATGAGGGGGATTGGTTGTTTGCGAAAAAGAAAGACACGAACCAGGCATCTTTCTTCCTTCTTCTCTTCTTCCATCTGGAGGAATCCAGATCTTCGCTGCAGAAACGCTCAAAGAGTTTTTTAGCGTGAATTGCACCGAAGCGTGGGCTAACTTGTTCCGTCCAGAGTTATTCAGGTTGTGGTTTGTAGCTAGTTACGTAGTTAACTACTCTATCCAATGCCAATGCATGCCGTGACCCCATGTAACTATTACATATACTGGGATTTTAACTTAAAAACCTCTTATCAAGACTCCTTTCGAGGCCCTTTCTTCCCTTGACTCCATTTGCCTTTACAGACCGACCGTATCATCGTTCTTCCATGCAGTGAGGCTTATTGTTATTATTATCCATTTCCCAATTTAGCCTCTTTCCACTCTATATAAGTTAACCTCGACGCCATCAATTGAGTTCCTGACCTCGAAATAGTAGTTTTGCGCCTTGTTTTATTTTTGTTTATATTTTTATTTTCTTTTTCCCGCCTTTTCTACTACCCTATGAAGCTAAATGCAACAGGAGAGAGAGGTGGAGTGGGCCCAGAGAATCACACTGCACATCCAGATGTTATATACATGACTACCGAACTTTTCAATGATGACGCGATTCTCCCAAAAGGCCGGTGTCCCTTCACAACCTTTTTCTAGCGCATGTGAGACTCGCGACAATTGACCCGCCAAATAGGGCGACTGAAGATTAGTATTTATTTTTACGGCGAAGCAATGTGAAAAAAGCCTTAACAGCGGATGGTGATGTCATCGGGCAGCTAAGAACGCCGGGATATTCACCTTCGTAAAGTTAGGTTGTTCAAGGTGACTGACTAGTTAACCCAGCCGAACCCCAAGCAAAACAATATTTTTTTCCAAGGTTAATAATATCCCTGAGCCAACCAGGATCTCCCCCGGACCTCCCGTCCAAGGTCCACTGTCCACCGGCTTAGCGTTTCGATAACGTAAGAATGGGCTTCGGAGTTTGTTGCTGTTTGGAACTACAAATGATGATAATATAACGAGTCGCTATTATTGGCTGCAACTACCGCCTGTCGAAAGCTTACCTAGATTGGATTGGCCTTGTTAACATTATGAATCAACATTTGAGTTGAATGCCGATAGTTAAGCAAGTACGGCTTATGAGTGGGGAAAATGTGTCCGGCGTCGTCATACAGAACAGAGAGCGGTTGGAACCTAATAGAGAGAGCCTTACGGGACGGGCTGGTTGGAGCACTCGTCAACGTCTCCAACGGCAGCATAAGAATTTGTAACGGAAATTGTTCGTGATAAGAAAATAGTATAATATAAATATAATCAATGATGATTGCACAGGATCATGTATACAAACTCCGCTCTCCCGAAGAGCTCGGTGTGGAACCCAAAAGCTCTCGTTTATTTGCGAACGGTAATCAAAATAAACAAATAAATAAATGAATGAATAAATAAAATTTTTGGCTGACTCGCATTGAAGTTGCGCACAGGGATCATGAGGCTGATGCATTGACTTATTTTCCCCGGCCCAGCAATTTGCACGCCACCCTTGCATCCATGTGGGCCATAACTGCCCCGGCGGCCTCAATGATCATATTACTTTGGAGTGCTTGAAATCCTCTCCCGAAGATAGGCCTAGTCACAACTATGTAACGAGCCGACAGCTACCAACCCTTGTCGTTTGATCGATGTATCAGTTATCCCCCATCTTAGCGCAAAAGTAATAACCCCACACTTGGAAGCGAGACAGTTCTTCTCTCTCTGTTTTGATATATTTTGCGCATTTTTGTTTTTGGATAGTGCATCCCCAGATATGGATGTCGAAATATACTTACTTAGCAGAAGAAGTTATGATTGATCAAGAGCAGTATTTTTAACTTAATTCGGGTGCCTCTTTCGAGAAGCAACGCCGATGACGAAGGTTGAGAGGGTGCCTCGAGCTTAATTGATATTGGATGCCCCAGGCTGTTTTTCGGGCGACACACACGGGGCAACGTCGCACATCTCTCGGAGGAGATAATAAGATAATTTTTTGGAAGCATTTCCCATCCCCCCCCCCCCCCCCCGTGGCATGCGGGTGCTGGGGACAATGGGTTGATGGTAAGAAATTAATGGGGAGCGTTGACAATTAGTTTTTGTTATTTGTTTTGTCTTATTTTTTATCTAACCCCCCCCCCCCCCCCCCCCCGAACTAAGAATCTTTTTGTCAGGGGATGATTATTAAAAAATAAAAAGAAAACCGAATCACCGCCTGCTGGAAATATTAGGGCGTAGATCAACAAACTCCATTTCGACGGCTTGGGTTGAACTCAGACATAGCGGCCACTGTCTCGTAGATTGAGTATGATGGGTGAGCAACTATTCTTCACATCGTTTG